ATAGCAGTTAAATGGTACCTATTGATGCTGCAGGAGTGGATCGCTCTTAGTAGAGTGGAAAGGATACTGCTGTCCTGCTGCTCTCCTGTACGTTGCAAAGGTACACACACTCATGTTTGTGCTTCAGAGCTGGGGGTTGTGGACTGCAGGGAAAGAAAATGGCAGGATATGTCTGGGAAAATCTGATAGTATAAAGCCAAAGCTTACCACTATCCTCTTCCAGGGTGGGGGGAGGGAAATAATATCTGTATTTAAAATAAGGCACTGCAGGTGGGCGTATGACTCAAACTGGATAAACTTAAAATTCTGGACTGGTAGGAGGACTTGGTCCTACAGCAGTGATGAGAGCCATCTGCATGATCTGACCCTACCTGGGGAGCTTTCATTCCACGTTCTCTGAAGTTTGAGGATTTGTTTTCTGGGGGTCTTAATCCAATAAAAACATAATAGACTACCAAATGAATAAAAATCTTTTGTTCATTTAGCTTACTAGCAGCGATGATCAACCAAATGTTAGCTCCCAAAATATGGATTTCTTGTTTGCAGTTGTAAGTACCTGCATTAATCTGATGAAGAAAGTAAGACGTAATACAGATTTTTCTGCCCAACCAAAGCAGCTTGCAGTTCAATATTGAATTCTCCTGGTGTATTGCTAAGAGAGTAAAACACAATTAAAAAGAGTTTCGAACCACAGGAACTTTGAGGAAAACTGCAGTTTGTTTGAGACACAGATCTCAAAAGGGGAATGAGAAAGAAAGAAAATCCATCAAATTATTCATTACAGACTTAACATTCACCTCATATTAACAAGCAGCCCATTGTCTGATCCCAAGTGTAACAACAGGCTGTAATTTAAAGCAGCTTTTATTCATTAATGAATAGAAAAGTTATTTCAATGAGAATTTGGAGAAAGCCTATGCCAATTACCAGCACTAAAGTCTTTGCTTGTAAAGACATGGCTTGCTGGCGGGCTGTGTGTTGTGACACTAAATACAGTAAGCAAATGAGAGTGGTTTCTCCTACCAATTCAATCAGTAGGTCTGAAATGGAATTAACCTTTTAAAAATGCAAAGTATTCCTTACAGCAGATGGTAGCGTTTGCATATACAAATACTTCTTGGCAATCATAATGTAAACCACATGCTCTGAAACAATAGGATTCCTGAGCTGAACCCTTCACCCCCCTGAAAATGAAAAATAACATTGTCCAAGCTCAGACGGGTGGCTGCTACTGCAGGACCAGCTCCTGCTCATGCCGGGGTGAAGTGGGCACAAGAAGACTTAGGGGAAAAACAAGGGTGGGGGGCACAGAGGGAAGCAGGGGGATGTTGGGATGTACTAAAAGGTGGTATTTCTCTATCACTTGCTGCTACGCTCTTAGACTTCTATGTATTGGCTCTAGAGGGCAGCTGCAAATTAGCTGTGTTAGCCTGCTTTAGCGCTCCTCTATAATGCAGCTCCTTCGTATTTTAAACAGGATAGATTAATCCCCAAAATGCTTTATGCTACTGCTGCTAGGCTGCTTCTAGTCCTTGTGCTAACTAGGGCGACTCTCCATAGCATGTTACGAGGCTTTATATGCCTCTGGGTTGCACCAGATAGAAGCATTTGCATCTCTTGCAAGCTCCTCAAGTTACCCGCGTTGCCTGACTGCTGCTCGCTATCCATCGTGCTTTTCTATGCTAACGCACGTTTCCCAAGCATTTGTCCACAAACACTGAAAGTAAGAGAAGCGTTCTTAAAAAGTGACAAAGATTCCAGAAGCTGCAGCTTTAGAAAGTACGTGTAAGGAAATGTTACGGCAGACCAGAACATCACTGTAAAGCAGAATAATCTCAAAAAACAAGTCCGTCCTTTGCTTCATGCTCACTTTCTGCCAAGAGCACAAGCTGGCACTGTGGTGGAACAGTAAACGCTAGGGGTGACTCTGTCCTGTGGCTCCCCGGACTCGTGGTGCCAGGTTCTCTCAGAGATATAGGGCAGAGGTGGCTGGTGGGAGCTGAAACAGCTCCCAGCTCAGGAACCGTCAGCCTGGAGGCTCTTTCGGAGAGGAGGCTGCTACTCAGAACCCCTCCTGTTCCCCGTGGAGCCTCTGCAAGACTGGCCCCTTAAGCAAAACAGAGCTGTGGGCACTGCTTACCTGTGGCTCTGTTCGCACCTGCAGCTGACGTGTTACATACCAGTCCTTTGGGAGAAGGGCTGATTTTTGGTAGGTGTCTGTCAAGATATTGGGCTTACCTTTGCACACCGGTAACACAGAAGCTGCTCTGCGCTCCACTGCTACGAGGAGATGGAAGTCTCATCTCTGATTCAGTGGTGCTTCTAGCTTGTGTTAGACAACACCTGAAAGAGACATGAAAGACTTGGGATTGTGCAGTGCACCGTCCTGACCGCTCTGAAGAACGCATCTGGGCTCTCAATGCTCGTCCATCACTGCCCAGCATCACATGTGTGACAACAGCAACACCACTACCAACACCAGGCTGCTCCAGGACATCAGCACAGCTAAGCTGACATGCTTCACTGTAGGATGTATTAGCAAAAATTAATTTTGGTCCCTCTGACATGCCCGATATACCTGCAGCAGGATAGAGGCTAGGTGGCTTGCTTACATTATCTTACTTTTGTATCTGGTCCTTGCTGAGCATCGGTTTGACCACTGAAATGGCCTTAGGACCCTCTGTGTGCACCCTGCTGAGGCCAAAGTCAAAACCTTGTGTTACAGCAGGACTACATAGGGAGACAATCATGTGTGAGGTGTATTGAAGTGGTGAAGTCCATCAGTGAGAAAGAAAATTACATGTAGGAGCAAATAAAGCAGGAGTTTATACTTTCTAGATTTTAGAGTTTCTGAAGCAAGGTGTTTCCCCTGGCCAAGCCAACAGCTCTTTAAGAATATTCTCATAAGATAGCTGAGAAAAACCTCTCCTTTCCCTACTACCTTCTGTCCCTCCCTTCCTTCTTGCAGTTAAAAAAATCAGCAATAAATGAGAATAGACAGAGCGGACACTTTGCAAGACAACATGCTGTTAGCTAGGCCGGGTCAATAAAAAATGTTTCATTGCACAGAAGCATAACTAAGAACAAGTCCTGAGCAACTTCAAAGCAGCAAAGTTGTAACAAATGCTGCATCTAATGTAAGCAAGCCTTGAGAGTGAAAGCCTACCATAGTGTAGAAAGAAATTCCTTTTGTTAACATTAATATTTCACGGCTGATATAGAACACATTAGGGCATTTCAGCTGGGTTTTAAAGCAAGAAATTGACACAGAAAGAAGGTAATGATTTTTTTTAATGTAGGATCTCTCTGGGGGTTTGTGTTCATATCACAAACATTCACTTTATTACATTTTGTGGAATGGAGTTTAAATGCCAGTATATACAAGCCAACATTTCATTATTGGAGTTTGTGTTTATTCACTTGCCATGTCAGTCTGTTCCCCTTTGTCTTCTTGTGCTGCTCTTTGTAAAAACTATGATTTATGAATATGTGGTTTAGATCCTTCACAATATAGTGTGAAGTGGTTCAATAAAAAGTTATTAAAGTGGAAAAAAAAAAATCTATAGTTTCGCAGTGCTTTGCCCACCTTCTGTAGCAACCGCCAGTAAGAGACTCTTACACTAAGCAAACACCGCGTGCAATGAGACTGATGTAAGA